TAGATGTACGTGGATTCTGGGCCCATGACAACCGAGAAAATCTTCTCCAGGAAGAAGAAGAGCCACAAGAAGAAGCATAAGCTTTAGATATCTCAGTAATCATGTGAGATTTAGTTATTTCAATTTTTCTCTCATTATAGTCCTGAAAGTAGTAGAATGCATGTATATTTTGCAGTTTGATTGGAAAAACTACTGAAATTATTTGTAATGTAGAAGTTTAGTAGTGTAACCATCAAATTTCTCTCTCCAATGTGTTGTTGAGGAATGGCCGAATGGGTGACGTGTTCTTAAATTTCAATTTATCTATTACTTTTCTGAATGATAACCTTCATAGGGCTTTGTCTTTGAAAAAATCTGCTAGCATAGATATAGTAAAAGGCTTTATATATCGTCAGTGGACGTGTAGAGTTATTTTTTCCCAGTTAAAATGTATATGAAATCAAGAAAGTACAACTAATGCAAATATTGACACGAAAGTGCATTATTAAGTTCATCTTTTTTTTTTTTATTTTTGCCATTTCTATAATAGTGCAATTGTTAACTGAAAAATATGAACTTATTTGTACAAAATGGTATTGCAGTAATATAATATGGTATCGTTTGGCATGACTTTTGAAATTCAAAAGTTGCTTTTAGCACTGTCTGGTGAAATTGTTTCTTTTAATTAGAAGAGTTTTTAGAGGAGGTCGGTTCAATGTGACTTCATATAAAAACACATTTTAAATAAGAATATCTTTTAAAATTAATTTTTAAACAAAAGTTAGTTTTCTTCAAAAACTCTTCTATATAAGACAAAAGTAAAAACAATAATAAATGTCAAACGGGTTCTTCGTCAATCAAGGTAACTCAATTTATCCTAAAATTATAAGTTGATTTAACCAGAAAATTACATTCTCTATCTCAACGTAATATTACTAATGGAACTCAATAGTAATATAATCACTGTAATAAATAATAATATTACAATTACATTAACACAAACCAACGTAGCGTTAACTAATATAAGTAATTCTACCAAACCTGAAAAGGATAAGAATTTAATAGTTTATCCTTGAAATCTTGAATCAATGTAACAAATTGTTATAAACGAGAGAGAAAAAGAGAGTTAGAGAAGTGACTTGTGTTTATTCTGTTGGGAACTAGAACCTCATATTTATGGAGAATAATTAGGGATATAATGGTAATAATTATTAAGGTTGTAAGGGTATAACTAACATTTACTAATAATCATATTATTCACAACGCTCCACTCGAATGATACATTATAAAATATCTGTCTCG